TATGTTTTATCTCTAGTCTCTTATCCTCAATGGCTAATATCTGCATGTATACACAGTCTCAGTATTCTGAATCTCATCTGTTCCCACTGCCTATTCTTCACCTGAAGTCATAATTCCATATCACATCATAATCACTTCCCTGGAGCACTGCTGCTTTAGATAGGGAATAAAGCAGCAGGAGCAGACGAACTCTCAGAAACACAGATCCTAATTTCTTACAGCAAGGGATATCCTTCAGTAATCCTATTTGGCTTTATACAGATTGCACCCTCCTGGAGTCCCACAGAGTCGTACATGAATGCTAGAAAAAGCGCCTATGTAAAATATGTTGGCCTGTCATAAGGCAAGACCAAACATGGTAGGGTGAGGCAGGGATGAAGCAAATGTCTCTCAGGTGTCACTCAAAATAATTGTTAGCTGCTACTAATAGGGCAACATTCACTGGGAAGAATAAAATATCTCTGGAACCATCCTTATTAAGCCAAACTTAACGAGAATTTGCACCAGACAGTAGCTATGGAAGTCACTAATGAAAGTCCCTCCGACCTGGAGAAATGCCAACCCACGGAGGATGAATGTTTCTCTTCAGCCTTTGGTACAAGCCCTTTCATATTTTCCCTATCATTGCAAACATTCTTGTAGTCTTCTGGCTATCAATGTTTCCCTCTTCTCCCTTGCCTTGTGTCCAAATCTCTCCTCTCACCCCACACTCCCAAAAGAAAGAGAGACCGAGGCTATAAAATAAAATATGCTATCATTAATTACTTGAGAATACAAATTAAAACATCTCCATCAGACAAGATACATTCTCTATTTCATTGATACTAGAAATGGAACAAACCCTTAGCAGAAGGGATAAGGATGGTCACAATGCCTAATTGGTCAATTTCCTTGTGTCTCCAAGCCTGAAAGCGGGCAGCAAGCTCTTTGCCTCTTCTGAGACTTTAAATGCACATCAATAAATGTTCATTCTAAATTAACTATACTTGGAAAGAACTGATTTGTACTTATTTGAAAATTTCCTGGAAGGATCCATGTTTGACTTGTTTTATTTTATTTTATTTTATTTCCAATGGTACATGCCCATAGCAAGTACTTAATAGGTAACAGTTTGCTGCACCAAAAGAAACAGTGGTTAGCTTAGGGCTAATACAGCCAGGCTAATGAGTTCAATCAGCCACTTGAGAAGCACATGGAAGCAGGAAGAGGCTGCTGAGAGAGAGCAGATGAGTAAGATGAGTAAGTAAAATTCTATCGCTACTTCAGGAATAGTTGCTTACAAGCCAGTAGCATTTTCTTCCTATGTTGAGGGTAGCTATTGATTTTTAACATAATCTGTACCTTCTTTAAAAATTTTCACAGGAGAAGCAGGACCACAGCCTTGAATGTATTTATTTTCACTACCAAGACAATCAAGTGAGATGCACTAGATGAAAGTGAATTTTTACTGGGACAGACAAGGCAATAGTGTGTGTGGGCTGGAGGAAAGGAGTGCTTATCATCATCTTCAAACTAATTAGGTATTGTTCCTGGCATGCCTGGTGATTCAGATAGTAAAGAATCTGCCTGCAATGCAGGAGACCTGAGTTTGATCCCTGGGTTGGGAAGATCCCCTGGAGAAGGGATAGGCCACCCACTCCAGTATTCTTGGGCTTCCCTCGTGGCTCAGCTGGTAAAGAATCCACCTGCAATGCAGGAAACCTGGCTTTGATCCCTGGGTTGGGAAGATACCCTGGAGAAGGGAATGGTTACCATTCCAGTATTCTTGCCTGGAGAATTCCATGGACAGAGAGGCGTGGTGGGCTACAGTCCATAGGGTCACAAAGAGTCAGACATGACTGAATGACTAACACTTTTACTGTTTTTCACTTCACTTTCCTGGCATGCAGAGAACATACTTAGCAAAAGTAAACTGAAAAAAATGACTGAACAATGAATAAAAGAATTATGAGATCTCTGAGGAAACTGCTAGAAATTACCTGTATTCATTTGCTTATAATTTGTTTGTAATTTGACCATAGCTACAAACGCAGGGCCTTCATCTGACTTATGTCTAGGGCTTAAAATAGTACCCAATTCAGTAACTGATTGTTGGAATAAATATATGAATAAAATATATTTTCTAGTTGGAGAACCTAAAGTCATTTATTCAACGTTGACTCTTCTTAGTACAATGTAAATTTTGAGAAGTACAAAATGGATAAATGTACAAGATAGGATAAATCCATGAGTACACCTAAACCTTCAACAAAAAGGAGACTTCATTCTTCCTTTCCAATGTAGTGCCTGGTTAAATCCTGTGGTCCTAATTATAAGAGCCAACTCGTTGAAAAAGACCTTGATGTGGGAAAGACTGAAGGAAAAAAGAGAAAGGGGCATCAGAGGATAAGATGGTTGGATAGCATCACTGACTCAATGGACATGAATTTAAGCAAGCTCCTGGAGATAGTGAAGGACAAGGGCGTGCTTCCCTTGGATGGGAAGGCTGGCGTGCTGCAGTCCTTGGGGTCACAAAGAGTCAGACACAACTTAGTAACTGAACAACAAATCCTGTGCCATGGCAACTGTTCAGTACGTGGTTATGAATCAAGAAAATTTAAGAAATTATTAGGGTTATGACAAAAGCAATTTATTTTTATTTTTCTCTTCTATCTGACCTCTCGGTTTTAGAGAGGTCAGATAAAATATGTATTTTATAAAATGACATATAGAGCACAATAGGTGGAAAATTTAAAATAAGATAAAAAATTTCAGGAAGTCATAATTCTTAAGAATGGGTAACATATAAAGGATAAGAATCCTTGTCTTTTGAAAGTAGTCCAGATTTGAGCGAAGGAAGGAAGGAAAAAGAAAGGGAGAAAGAGAGAGACACAGAGGGAGAGATTGATTTTACTTTCACTTATTAAAAAAAAATCAAAGTAAAACAAACATGCCTGCAATGTCTCTGCAACAAAATTCAAGGCATACACATGAAAACAAGAAAATAAAAATGATATTAGTAGTCTATTTATATACCTATGTTTTTGATAATCTATCTAAATTTACCTGGTAACAGTACTCTAGATCTGATTATTCATTGTGAAGGGAGTACTAACAAGGTAAAAGAACAAACCCATAATGATACTCCATAAGAGGCTTTGGGTTTTCAGGTTTTAACCATAAATAAACATGTATTAATTCAGTACTACATTAAAATGTTTAAAATGCATAGAATAACAACCTCTTTGAATACTGATGAGGAAATGCTTCAAAACAGGACTGAGGTTACATGAAAAGAGCTAAATACGAGTTAAGGATCATCTTTGGTATGCTTCAATAAAAGAATTACTGTTAGATCCTAGAGTGCAGAGGAACAGATGAGCCTGTTCCATTTTAAATCCCCTTTCTGAACGTGTTAGCAAAGGGCAGTGGCTCCCTGCAGTGTCTCTGCACTGCCTTTGTCAGCCGTGGCCAATGCAATCTAGGGCCTTTAGATCCTAGAATCAAGGGAGTTAAGGACCTGGGACTAAGTTTAAGCCAAGAGTGAGCCCTTTGCTCTTCCTCCCTGTTTGGGTCTTCCGGTCTTTAGGAAGGGGCAGAAAAAAACTAGATTAAGCAGAGAAGCAGTGCCAAGGGCTTGACTACCCTTAAGCAGATGGTGCCAAGAGTGTTACACCAAGTGGTCTTGAAAATATGACTGCTCAGTTGCTGGCTTCAAACAATACATTTGGCCACACCTGGTTGGCTACTGAGTGGTCAATATGATCAGATACTTTATAATATTACTGGAACGCCGTAGTTCTACAAAGTGCAGCACAGGACATTCATTCAATTGGTTCTGAAGGCATTATACACCTTATTTTTCATTAGATTTTAAAAGGTAATTTCTATCTAATTCACCCTCTTCCATATGCTAAATATTTCAGTTCTTCTTATAAAAAAAAACTTGTTGCTTTTACATATCAATATTTAACTTAGTAATCTGAGGCCACTTTCCTAATTTATCAGGTTTCTTCAACTCTCACTGGAGAATATTTATGGTATACCCCCTCTTAAAAATATCAACCATTTACAACACATTCAACTCCTTCAGGTCATTAATAAAAATACTGACTACTAAGACCTAAAACATATTTCTTGCAGGACTGTTTTCAACATCCTTTCCCAACTTGACATAAGATCATTTGACTTCCCTTGGCTAAGTCTTGTTCATTTTGGAGCAAAAATTATGTAATCCAATAACACTTAATTTTTTTAACTGAAAAAAAAAGACGCTATGCAAACTCTTAACATAAAATAGATGTGTACAATAATACAATCTGTATAGAACCTTGACAAATTACCACATTTAAAATGGAGAAGAGGATTTAATTCCTGGTAGAATGCTTTGTGGTTGTTATGACCAGTTATCACATGTATGCCTTTTGAGGCTTAATTTTTAACACCTAAGAGATGCTGAAAGAAATAACAGTCTGTAATAGGATTCCACGCTGGCAGACAAACACATATGTACCTGCGAGATTTTAAAAAATCATACTCATATGATGACAATTCACTTTTGGCATAAAAATAATAAAAGCTCAATATTTCATTTTCAAGTGAAAGTACTAGGCAATTCCATACATGAGACAAAAATACCTAACATGAATTTTTCTAACCATTCTTTTCAATATATAAAGCATTTTATGGACAATATTTCTTTTGTTTCCTTCTCTCATAAGGCCTAGATTATGGTTAATATCTCATGACACCAAAAGTAATACAGCAACAGATATTAAAGTATTTTTTCAGCCACTTATGCTATAAAATATTAATTGTAAGCCTGTGCATGTGCTGTGTATACAAGGGATTAGGTAACTGAGTTCCTGCTCGGTTCTAAATCAATAAAAGATAACATGCACAGCATCCGTCATCATTTGCTCTTCCTTTAGTACATAATAACTGCAAGTGGAAGATTTTTAAAAATATATATTTAAGCACTCACAGAGATACATGCTGCAGAAGACATAAGCAATACTTACCTAGGAAGGATAGGTTTTTCTCCAGAAGCAGGTCCCTCAGCAGGACTTCATGCTCATGACCAATGGCACTGGGGAGTCTTAGTTAAGGAGCGTAACATTGGTAGAATTATACCACCAGAAAAAATAGCTAATACCGGGCTATACTTTGAGATGAAATGGAAAGTAGAGGTAATTATAAACATCCTTTATGCTATGCTAAAAACCCCTCAATTCAATTTAGGACCATTTATTAAGCACTAAGTGCAGTAAAGAATACCAACCAGATTTTGCCCTAAGAATTTCTAGTCTTACAGAGTTCCATAAATCTTCTGTGAGTTCACACTTGCCACAAAGCCAGCATTTAGCAGCTCTTATTTTCCCAGTCCTGATGCTGGGAAAGATTGAGGGCAGAAGGAGAAGAGGGTGGTCAGAGGATGAGATGGCTGGACGGCATCAGTGATGCAATGAACATGAACTTGGGCAAACTCAGGGAGATGGTGAGGGACAGGGAGGCCTGTTGTGCTGCAGTCCATGGGGTTGCAGAATCAGACACAGGTGGGTGGCTGAACAACAACACTTCACTTCTAGTCTATGATTGGTGATCTTCTGTGACTTGGGAAACCAAACAACTGACTTGTTGAGAAGTATACGTACTCTGGAGGAATGACATCCCAGTAAATGGCTGTGGATTAGTGCGTGAGTTCAGAGGCTCTTTCAAGTCTTTCCCTTGTGTGTGCAAATTTTCACATAATATTGTGTGTATAAATATATACATATGCTCATATAAATCTTTTGAATGCTATTATGAAGCAGGCAGTATATTAAGTATGTTATTTTCAGTGTATTTACATATGTTATTTCATCCTCACAGTTATTATTATCCTTATATTACAGATGAGGAAACCGAGGTTTAAAAAGGAATTTATATAAGATCATATGGTCAATGTGTGCCAGAGCAGAGAATCAGAACAAAATCTCTGCAAAGCCTATGACCTCTGTAGAGCTTCTTAAACATATTAAAATTCATTACATAAAAATAATTGATATTAGCTAATAGTCCTTAAACACCATATACTAAGCCATTGTGCTAGCACTCTGGGGTATCATTTTATTTAATCTTCACAACAACCACATGAGCAGGTACTAGCTACAGTCACAGGTACATTTTCACAGTTAAAGGAAGGCTGAGAACTTGATGACGGTCTCATGGCAGGTAAGTAATGAAGTCAGGAATGAGACTTGGAATTCTGGTCTATTTTCCAAAAGGATGAGAGAGTACAAAGTGTGAAAAGGAGTGTTATCCTATTCTCATACTATAATTTTGTCAAAGGTGTTTGGTAATACAGGCAGACTTTGGAGATACCATGGGTTCAGTTCCAGAATAAAACAAATATTGCAATAAAGCAAGTTACATGATTTTTTTGGTTTCTCCGGGCATATAAAAGTTACTATTACATTATAGCCTATTAAGTGTTCAATAGCATTATATCTAAAAAATACATATACCCTAATTAAAAAATACTTTATTGCTAAAAAATTGCTACCATCACCTGAGCCTTTGGTGAGTCCTCATCTTTTTGTAGTTATAATACCACAGATCATCACAGCAAATACAATAATAATGAAAAACATTAAAATACTGTAAGAATTACCAAAAAGTGACAGAGAGACATGAAATGAGCAAATGCTATTGGGAAAATGGTGCCAACTCAATGCAGGGTTGCCACAAACTTTCAATTTATAAAAGACATAGTATCTGCAAAGCACAATAAAATGAGGTGTGCCTGTAATTCTTTAATTCTCCATCTCACTAATGTCAACTTGGTCTTAACACTCCTTGGCTTAACGGATTCTTTAGTCCTGATCATGCACTACAAGAATCCAATTTAAATCAAATAAAGCTTAAAAGTTACCTGTAAAATTCGTAGAGAATCATCCTGTCATTTATCAACACATACAAGTGGGTATTATTCTAATCTTAGAATTCAAGAGGTGGGACCACTCATATACATCATCAAAACAAGTCCCAAGTCATCATCACTGTCTTTTTCTTTCTGTTGTCCCTCCTCCCCATGCACGGGACTGTGCCTATTTCTCACTGAAAACACATTTTTAAATCATAAAATTTCACACATAAATAGAGTCCACTGAGGACATCTGATGAATATCTCTCAATGGTCTCTCATTACTAGGGGCATCCCACGTTTCAAAACTAAATAATTTACTTCTAGTCCACATAAATGTGCTCTCACTTTTATTGCTGTGAATTATTTACATCTAAAATGTTGAATCATGAAACTGATGGTACAGGAGTGAAAACCACAGCACTTCAAGCTTCCTGTATCATTATCTTTCCTTGTTCCACAGTTCAGGTCTTTGTCTAACAGTTCTGTCCTGGAGTCACACTTTGGAAAGTTGAGGTGGCTGCTTTCTCACACCTTTTGTGTCTGTGAATACAACTGGTGGCAGGAAAATAACATGTGGGTGGACATGGTTATATAGGAAAAATTATAGTAGACACCAAAAGAAAATGAAAGCAATGACAATTTATATACTCTTTGCAATCTAGGGTGCTGTTTTGGTGTCTTATTAATAAATCACCAATTTACTTTACTCTCCTTACACAAATGCCTACACGTAACATTTTCATAATGGAGTAAAAGGTTTTATACCTATTCTATTTATTAAATGTGTGCTTTCTTTCTAACAAGATGATGTAATTTACCAAGAGTAAGCAATGTAAACACTACCAATTTATCAGAACAACATACAAATAGCATTTGCACTCATATGAAAATCCAATCATTTTTACTCAGTGTGAAATAAAATAATTCCTGTTGATCAGACTTGAAAACAGCTAAGCAAGTGTATTTACGTTACATTAAACTGCCACTATCTCAATGCAAAGATAGAATCAATTCTATGTAAACTTCCCAGCCTGTTTCATTCTGCATGGTAAAGAGCAATCACTAATTTGAAACTTTGCAAAGATATATACATCTTGATTATGTTTTGTTTGATATAAACATGTATAAAATACAAAATATAGAATATAAAGTTTATATAAAAAACAGTAATTTTACAAGCAATAGGCTTAATGGAACTGTGAAATTATAATCTAGCCAGTGAATACAATTTGTAGACATACATCATTATCTTTATCAATTGAAATCATGCACTACATTAAATTCTACTGGCAGTAGCACAACCAAAAAAGGAAAGTGAATGATGGCAAAAATATAAGGAAAATACTCCAAACCGAATTTATAATGCTTCATAAGCAGAAACACTTAGACTTTCTCTATAATAATACCTATTATTGATGTATGGCAGTGACCATGGGGCAAAACTTGTAAATAACCTCACAAGCCATTTTCTTCACCAGCAATACAGCAATCTAGTTTCCCGTAAGCATCTCAACTATTACTGAAAAACAGCCTCCTGGCATTTACAAAGCAGTTGACTTCATACTTTAGTCCATGCATACATAATTAGATAGTTATATTTAAAATCAATATGCAATCCTTCAAAAGACATTATGCTTTTAAAACCTTAACTTTAAATTGATTTTTAACTATTTTATGTGCTTTAAAATTAACATGTAATTCCACCCCAGATACTGGAAGATGGTGTTAGTCATTTTGTGGATGTGCTAAACTTTATCACTGGCAACGTAGGGGTTGGCATTCTGACAATTTCTAACACTATCGTTAATTTTACACTGAAAATGGAAGCACAGTTTCACTCTGACCTAACAAAAGGTTGAACTTACAACAATGCTATGCTTTTATTAAGTTAGACTGAGAGGAACAGATTAGGAGAATAAACATACAAAGGGCTATAATATAGATAGTGAATATTCTTCCAAGTGGGCTCTGTTGAAAGATTTAGTTTTCAAAGGTTAATTTCATGAAAAAAAGAAAATGAATCCATTTTTTTTCTTTTACAAAAATTTCACTAACTCTAAGCCTTCATGAAACAAGGTGGAATACAAACACACACACACACACTTGACTAGCAAAGCTTCTAACAAAAAGCCTCCTGACTGGTAATCACTGAGTCATAACTGGTCACAATGCCATCTGCGCTAACAAAACCGAGGAAGGGCATGTTGTATTACTAAAAAATTGACTCATGGGCTCAGGTAGATATCACTTCCACTAAAAATGACTATTTACTCTTTACATAGAATTTTTTAGCCAAAGATTACAAAAATTCTTAGTGTTGCCACAATACTACTAAATGTATTGATTAACAGTGTCCTACTTCACAAAGTGGTTACTGTCCACTCAACTCCTGTTTGGGCTTCCCAGGTGGTGCTAGTGGTAAAGAATCCATCTGCCAATGCAGGAGACACAAGTGATGCAGGTTCAATCCCTGGGTTGGGAAGATTCCCCTAGAGTAGGAAATGGCAATCCACTTCAGTATTCTTGCCTAGAAAATCCCATGGACAGAGGAGCCTGGCGGGCTGCAGTTCACGGGGCCACAAAGAGTCGGAAACAACTGAAACACATGTGCGTGTACACACACACACACACACACACACACACACACAAATCCTGTTTGACGAAGCAAGCGTTAACTCTTTAGTCATTTGAATGTCTTTAACGAAAAATGACTGGACATCTGTTCTCCTAGCCTTAAACTCAGTCCAGAGGGAAAAATTAGCTTGGTTTTCTCTAAAAATGTTTATTAGGGACCCAAGCAACAGCTCAGAATATAATCAACATCTAGCAGTAAGAATCTACTGCCCTTTAAAACATGATGGTCTCTGGTGGCAGTTTAATCACATCATCCCTTAACTACGGGCTCAACATTTATTCTCAACTAAATTTGGTTCATTTTAAATAGAAATTTATTCATCTTTGGAAAAATGTCCACTGAAATGCTAAGGTACATTTCAAGACACTGTGCTACCTGCCTTGTGACTCCATCTTTAAACTCATTGAAAACCAAGCAGGTTGAAATAAGCATGTGAACATGCAACTGCTGAACTGACATCTTCCCAAAGCCTATCTGATTTTTTTTAAGCTGTAGAAAAGAATGGTCTGCAGTGACCCTCCAGTTGATGGAATATAAAATAGAAGAGTATGAAATGTGTTTTGTGAAGCAGAACTTTATGTCAGGTTAAAGCTAGACACATCTCCTCCACTGAGTCTAAGCTCGTCAATTGTGCACCTAAAATTTTATGGGAAAGGATACTGTTTGATGCAGTCCACCAGTGGTCCATAACAGCAGTCATTCACGATGCACTGCAGACAAATAAAGAGAAGGGGTCTAGGATGGAGCGTCTACAAAAACTGTCAGACAATATCCTAAAAGCAGTAGTTACTTTTCTTAAAAAATTTTTTTAAAAAAAGCTATCAAAAGACTGTTCAGATTTAATCACAGAAAACAAAAATTGCATGCTTTTTATTCACTATAAAAGCAAGCTATTAAAAAGTGAAATGCTCTTCTCACAAATATTGCATTGCCATTTATGGTGCACCCTGACCTCAGTGATAGTTTATGATGACAGTAATTAAATGAGGTTTAAAATCCTTTACTCTGCTAGGCAGATAACAGCATTGCCACTGAAAATAGACAGCTGTGATTAATACCTGATAGACCTGATTTGCTAGAACTCCATCTGGAATCTGAGAAGGGTCCCGTAGCATACTATTTATAACAGACTTGGAGGCTGCAGAAGAAAAGAGATGAACTGTTAGCAGACAGTCAACATACTTTTAATACAACATGAAAAGTGACATATACCTATAAATACACAAACCATGAAAATAAAAACATTACTGATACTAATTTTTTCCCTTTTTTCAAATCTCAGAGAAGCTTTTAATTAAAACACTTTGCCAAGTTTATAAGCCACATTGACAGATTTGAAGATGACCTAATTTTTCCAAGGTAAATTCACAAGTACAGACCTAAAGCATATGTCTCTTTGCAGAGAAATTAGCTTTGGAAAAGCCCACTTGGGGGAAAAAAAAAAATCAGAAAAGAAAATATTTTCCTTCAGCAGGTAAGTATGTTATAACCAAGCATATGTAGCTGAAGAGTTTAGAGAAGGCAGGTCAGATTCAAAGACTTCAGTGATGTCAATAAAAATTACCTTCAGCCAAGAAAGCATCTCTGAATATAAACCTTTCTGAAATAATTCTCAACTGCCATGAAATGTTATGTCCATTTCACAGGTAAGGAAAGTAGGTAAAACTGACACAATTGAGCAAATCTTAAATAAGAAAAAATATATATATATACACACACAACTGTATATTTATATACAAATTTTTGTCCCAAAATATGTCTCATCATACCCAATTGCAAATTAAATTGACCTTATCCTGGGGGGCTGCAAGGGAAGGGTCTATAGGAGGCATCTTACGAAGTGTGGTATATCAGATCACACCTTTTGAAAAGCGAGGCACGGATCCTGGCCTCATTGCTTACTGGAGGCATGCAGAAGCCAGAGTGGTGAGAACTCCTCTTCCTCAGCATGGAAGGAAGGCAAGTCTCTAGACTGAAGCTAAGTCAGGTGTTGCCTAAGAATCAATTCTTTCAAGTCCTCCAGTGGAATCATTCCCAAACATTTAGCAAAATAGCTCATAGGGTCTGATCCATACAAGCATGAACTAAAAAACATACTGGATAATTATCTAGTTAAGAGATAATGCCATGCCACAGAGCTACATCATCATTTAGGCTCTGAGATAGTTTTTCATTCTTTTTTTTTTTTTGAATGATTATGTTCTTTATCAAGTTCAGTACCATAAGAACACTGACAGATATGATAAACGTTAGGAAATTCTGTGGAAAGAAATAGGGAAATTACATCTTTCTCACTTAAGCATGGTGCACAAGGAAATGAGTGCACAAGGAAAAAAATGAAGCGCAATTATTTTAATTATTTCCTATTCTTAGTTGCCTAACTGCATGTATATAACACTGCTATCTAGTTAGTTGCCGTGTGTAAATATGTTTGCACTGCAAGTGGGGAGGCATATTTGGAGTCTCAAAAACATCATCATCACTGGGGGAATACTATCCAGCTTTGCAATCTGGCAAGTTATTGAGTCTCTCAAATTCAGGGTCTTCATCTGTAGAATGTGATAATGTTATCTGACCTAACTACCTTTAAGGGTTCTTATATGAATCCCTAGAGAAAACAGTGATGACACTATTGTTTCAGTTATTTTGTTAAAGCAATAATAAGTAATATCAAGAAAAAAATCAGCCTTACGAACTGACTTTGAGTAAGCTTAAGTTCAGTTCAGTCACTCAGTTGTGTCTGACTTTGCGACCGCACAGACTGTAGCACGCCAGGCTTCCCTGTCCATCACCAATTCCTGGAACTTATGCAAACTCATGTCCATTAAGTCAGTGATGCCATCCAACCATCTCATCCTCTGTCATCCACTTCTCATCCCGTCTTCAATCTTTCCCAGCATCAGGGTCTTTTCTAGTGAGTCAGTTCTTCACATCAGGTGGCCAAAGTATTGGAGCTTCAGCATCAGTCCTTCCAATGAATATTCAGAACTGATTTCCTTTAGGATGGACTGGTTGGATCTCCTTGCAATCCAAAGGACTCTCAAGAGTCTTCTCCGTCACCATAATTGAAAAACATCAATCCTTCAGAGCTCAGCTTTCTTTATAGTCCAAATCTTACATCCATACATGACTACTGGCAAAACCATAGCTTTGACTAGACGGACTTTTGTTGGCAAAGTAATGTCTCTGCTTTTTAATAAGCTGTCTAGGTTGGTCATAACTTTTCTTCCAAGGAGTAAGTGTCTTTTAATTTCATGCCTGTAGTCACCATTTGCAGTGATTTTGGAACCCAAAAAAATAAAGTCAGTCACTGTATCCACTGTTTCCCAATCTATTTGCCATGAAGTGATGGAACCAGATGCCATGACCTTAGTTTTCTGAATGTTGAGTTTTAAGCCAACTTTTTCACTCTCCTCTTTCACTTTCATCAAGAGGCTCTTTAGTTCCTCTTCACTTTCTGGTGTCATCTGCATACCTGAGGTTGTTGATATTTCTCCCGGTAATCTTGATTCCAGCTTGTGCTTCATCCAGCCTGCATTTCACATGATGTACTCTGCATATAAGTTAAATAAGCAGGGTGACAATACACAGCCTTGACGTACTCCTTTTCCTATTTAGAGCCAGTGTGTTGTTCCATGTCCAGTTCTAACTGTTGCTTCTTGACCTGCATACAGATTTCTCAGGAGGCAGGTCAGGTGGTCTGGTAGTCCCATCTCTTTAAGAATTTTCCATAGTTTATTCTGATCCACACAGTCAGCAGAAGTAGATGTTTTTCTGAAACTCTCTTGCTTTTTCAGTAATCCAACGGATGTTGGCAATTTGATCTCTGGTTCCTCTGCCTTTTCTAAATCTAGCATGAACATCTGGAAGATCATGGTTCACATACTATTGAAGCCTGGCTTGGAGAATTTTGAGCATTACTTTGCTAGTGTATGAGATGAGTGCAATTGTGTGCTAGTTTGAACATTCTTGGGCATTGCCTTTCTTAAGTTAGACTTAATTATTTCAGAAAGAAATTACCATGGTTTAGTGGAACAAAACCTGGGAATACAAAGCAGTGAACTGTCTTACATTGCTCTCACATGCTCATTCGGGTCTGACTCTCTGTGACCCAATGGACTGAAGCCCACCAGCTCTTTTGTCCATAGGATTCTACAGGAAAGAATACTGGAGTGTGTTGTCATTTACTTCTCCAGGGGATCTCCCTGACCCAGGGACCAAACCTGGGTGTCCTGAATTGGCAGGCAGATTCTTTACCCACTGACCCATTGTAAATTCACTGTTTTCCCAACTTAATTCTAAGGCCAGGCCAGTAGGAGGGGACCAAAGCAATCACTCACATACTGGTCACCTTCTCTGAGGGACTGCACTCACTCTGATCTGCTACTCAGTCAACGGGTAGCAATGGCAGACACACTCCTTTGCAGCATCCATGATGCTATCAGTATCTCATGGAAACAAAAGCACCTTCTCCACATGTTCCTGGTCACTGCTAGGTTGTTACACTGCTAACCCTCATACCCATGTGAGAAGAAGATTATTAAATGACCAGACCGCATACCTAAAAATATGCTATTTCCCTATCCTAGGGAAAATTACTGACCTCATGTCAAACTATATGCAAACTCACTGCTAAAATCATAATGGTCCTTTTTAAAAAAAGAGGCACAATACCCTAGGACAGAAAAAAAAAATTAGGTCATTTGTTTTATGAGGGAAGAAAGGGAAATCTTACAGGAAAAAGAAACTGATGACATCATAGTTTTCCTCACAATATACATTATAGAACAGTGTGCTTATCAGAAGTAAGAATCATAGCCAATAAACTTAAAAAAATAGTTTGAATTTATTGAATAGAACACTATTCAAATCAAAGGAAGCTTGCAAGGGGAAGTCAGTGATTTTAAATTGAATAGTAAAAACTATATATTGAGTCCTCGTTCATTTAAAACTCAAGAAAATCTCTTCTCTTCTCGCAACTGGCTGTTTCTCAGAACAGGAGAGAAAGTGCTAACATACAGGACCTCCAGGCCAAGGCTCCAGATGCAGGACATATCTGCCCTCCATGTCTGGGTATTTGCACTCAGACTTGAGTAGGTCTACCTCCCAGATCAAGACAGAGTGCAAGCATAAATTTACACATAAACTCTGAAGCTTAGGAAATGCCCAGTGAGGGAAATGAGAGTCGCTCAGTGTCTGACTCTTTGCAACCCCATGGACTATACAGTCCATGGAATTCTCCAGGCTAGAATACTGGAGTGGGTAGTCTTTCCCTTCTCCAGGAGATCTTCCCAATCCAGGGATTGAACCCAGGTCTCCCACATTGCAGGCAATCCTTTACCAGCTGAGCCACTAGGGGAGCCTAGGAAATGCCAAAGGGAAGAATAACATCAACCAGATAAGGAAAAGCAACTGGACAATCTCAGGGATATGAGGCCTCAAAGAAGCCCATGCCTTTCATGGAAACTGCCCCTAGGTGAGCCATGACTTTCACCCATTGTGCATCCATCTATTTTGACCATGTGTGGATAGGAGTCTTGTTCTCTCCAACTACTGCTAAAGGCATTCGTTCTGTTGATTTCACAGTTTAACCTTGCCACTGCTTTAACTGCTGGGATTTGAAGTACCAAGCCTGTTCAAAGCAAGAATGAATGAGTCCCTTGGAGCAAGATGCACTAGAAGAGGAGAGAATCGGTACCTGTTAAAGCATACTACACAGAATACAGCGGCAATAGGCAATGCCTGGACTATGACATGCATGTGTGTAGCTAATTCGCTTTAGTTGTATCAGACTCTGTGACCCCATGGACTGTAGCCCATCAGGCTCTTCTGTTCATGGGATTTCCTTCTCCATATTGTGGAATATTTCGAACACAAAGAGGGCAGGATCCTAATAGAGTAAACATCCATGTCCCACCTTTCTGGGCTTCCCAGGTGGTAATAATGGTAAAGAGACCACCTGAGCATGCAGGAGACATAAGAGACCTGGGTTTGATCCTTGGGTTGGAAGGATCTCCTGGAGGAGGGCATAGCAATCCACTCCAGTATACTGGCCTGGAGAATCCACCTTTCTGAATTAACTTTTGGACTGGCAATTAATACTAAGATAGTCCAATACTAATTTGTGTAAACTTCTAA